CAGAGCTGCTTCCTGTTGAACCAGGAAACTAAAAAAGATTAATTTCTAATGAAGAACAAAACGATTGCTGAAAGACAAATCCTCATTTTAAGGAGAGAAATAAAGGAATTAACATATTTGCAGCTAAACCCAGCAACTAAAAGATAAGGAACTTAGAACGAAAGAGCCCACAGAAAAAAGATGTCATAAAAGCACTATTTGCATTAAGAGTAGACAGCGATCATGGGGCTTTGGCTGGAATGGCCTTCAGCAAATTCTCTTTACACAGGCCCTTGAAGATTGTAGGGGTCACAGTGTCATGTAAGTTAATTTTTAAAAAACTCTGAGGTGTTTCAGGAAGTTCTAGCAAGATATGCATTAAGCCTTGGAGCTAAACTCACTGTTTGCATAAATGCTGTCAAAGCCAGCTGAATTGCTTTCTTCTGCCAGCTCTGAGTTGGAGGCCAAGTTTGCAAAGCACCTGAAGACAGAGACTCTGTCTAAGCTTTCCAGAGGTGTCGCCCTCTCCTTGAAAGATGCTCTGCATAAAGGCATCTGGGCATCCACTGCGCTTTTAGGTGCCTGAAAAAACAACTGCGACACAATCATCACCTCTAGGGCATTTCTCCCCCCTGCCCTTCTCTGAGAGGTTTCTCAGGATGGTTGGTTGTACCAGCTTGATGGGATCCCCTCCAAAAACTAAAGCAGCATTTCTCTTCATTTGACAGGGACAGGCTGGGACTGGACTCTGTATGTTTGCCATGCAGCTGCTTAGGACTGAATTCTAATCTGTTATTCTCTCCACTAAATAAAAATCAGCACTGGGAGGTGGGAGCTGGGAGAAGCTACTTGAAACAAAACATGTCAGTGGTTACAGTGGAAATGAACAATTTGGAGTTTTTAGGCAACATCCTCTTACAGGAGAAACTGTCAGGCTTGAAGGGAAGTGAATACTTTTATTAGGCAGATTCCAGCCTAATAAATTAAAAGGTGATAAATTGATTCTTGATGTAACAGATGATTTCAAGCCACCATAAAATAAATTGATGGTAGAAAGATACTGAGCAGGATATTACTTATTAGGGGAGAAGAACAAAGAATTCTGAGGTGAAGTTCTGGAGACCTGAGAACATCCTTCCCTTCTTCACAGCAGGAGTCATTAAAATATGAAGTGCATGTGGGAAACTGCAGGGATATATGGGGTGTGCCCTTAGGGAAAGGGAGGTGGGAAGCTCTTCAGCACCTTCAGGAAACATCCACACTGAGAAAAAAATAGAGTGAATGAAGATAAAGAGCAGATCATTCTGGGGATCAAACTTTGCTGTGCACTGAAGAGAAGAGGGCGCAACTACAGCGTGTTTCCCTCACTGCCTGGTGTCACAGATCCACATGGTTTCTGGCACTGTTGGAGAAGAGAGAGACTGATGATAGGTGGTTGGTGTTGGTGCTTTGAACACTGACACCTCTCAAGGGGATGCTGTGCTGTGCAGAAGTCTTGGTGCAGAGCCATTCCCTGTGCTTCAAACTTCCTGGCCTCGTGTTCTCACTCCAGAGACCAGCTCCCAGCGAAGCTGCCACACCCAGGCTGGAAACCTTGTCTGTCTGCATGTTCCAAATCTGGGACAGCCAAGAGAACTGCTGCAAGGTACTTACACAGCCCCCAGACCACCATGTCCCCCTGTGCACATGTAGCTGTGTTCTGGGGAAGTTGTGCTGGCTGGCAGTGGGTATCCATGTCTCTGGAGAACTGCATAAACTGGCTGAGCTTGGACACCACCCTGGTGAAAAGACAGGATTTCCCTACAGACTCCCTAGCAATGGAAAGAGTGTTTTATTCCTGCTGTGTGCAGAGAGATTTCCTTGTTTATGAGCAGAAGTTTATTCAATCCTCCAGTGTTGCCCTGGGGTCTCGGAGTGCAGCTCCCAGTGATAACACAGCTGGCAGCCAGCTGGGCTGGCACTGCTGCTCCCTGAGCTGTCCCAAATCATCAGGAACAGCATTCAAAGGGCCTGCTTGTTCCAGGATGATCATTTTCTTCACCTTTCCCTGCAGGAGGTGTGTGTGCCTGTGCCTGGCTCAGATGGGATTTCATGCACAGAGCAAGCAGAGCCACAGTAGGAATGATTCTGCTCCTTCTTCATTTTGTGAAAGAACTCTTTAGCTGGAATAAAATTGTAGGATCTCTAGAGGTTCTAAGACAGGAATCGTAATGCTGGATTTGAAAGCACTCTCTGTATATTTTTAGTTTTGGTGTTTGTCATTCATGATGCAAATGAACCTTTTACATCTCTCTGGCCATTCCTTGTGCTCTTGGATATAAGACAGAAACCCTAAATAAATGGTTTATCATAAAGATTTAACATTTGAATACATAACTATATGGTCTGGATAATAACTATCTTTCTATAATACCTGATATGTATTGGTAACATGGATAACTGATTTTTAAAATTTTATCTGTATTACAATCAATTTTTTCAGAGACAAATCCCAGAAGTGCTGGGAAGGAGGTGGAGGAGTTACCAATACAAAGGAAAGAAAGGCATTTTGAGTAGAAAAAGTTTTCTGCCTTTTATTTATCTGAGAGTTTTAAGCCCCCTTCATTCAAGTATTTAAAACAGTGACTGATGTTCGTGTCTGCTGATTAATGATGATTTATACTCACTGTCAATACTTAATAGAGATAAATTTGACTTAACCAACCAAGCACAGCTGACCAAAACCTAGAAACACTTTGCAAATAAAAAACCTATGTTTCTCTCAGAAACAAACAACTAAAAGGACAAAGCCAACAGAAAAGTTTATTTCTGATCAGAAAGCTGTGCTAAATGCTGAGCCTGCCAGTGGTTGAAGTCACAGAGCTCCTTTCCTGCCTGTAACTCAGCTCCTGTGACTTCACCCTTTGTCCTGGACAAGAGCAGGATTCTCCAGGCACGGCCCTCTCATTGTGGGAAGAGCTGCAGTTCTGCTTCTGAGCCTTTGCTCTTGCTCAGGAAGTTCAGTGGTAAAGAGGTTATTAAACCCTGGCTTTCATGACTTCTCTATAGATGAGGAGTCCACTGAGAAGTCTCCTTCCTGTTGTACCTCCCCAAACCTGGGAGAGCTCCACTCTCTGTCCATGGTCACTGTAAAATTGTACCATGGTCACAGTGTGGTTTGGTTATTTCCTGGCTAATGCCTACCTGGCATTTTGTTATTATTATCTCCTCTGTCAGTAGAACATTTCACAGCCTGGGCCTTACAGTGATTAAAGAGGAGAGGCCCAGAATGTCAGACCTGGATGAACTGTATCAGTAAGGTCAAAGTAAAAAAACACATAGTATAAAAACTTAATTTTAAGAGATATAGGTACCCATTTGGAAATGTGTGCAATTCTCAGCCTGCTCTGAACTGTTTGCTGCAACATTTCTAGTGCAGAGCTGCACAACCTGAAGCCAGTGCAATGCAAAGCTGTCCTGCCATGAAGAAGTGGGAGGGAGAGTGGCAGAGGAAAATTCCAGTTAAGGGTCAAGGAACAGTGAAAGCAGAGAGTGGGTAGGAAATAATGGTGTTCATGTATGAATTCCAAACTAAACACAGACTGGCTACACATGTAATGAAGTGCTCTGAGATGCCATTTTGTGTATCATGTAAACCCAACATTAATCTCAACATCATTTTTGGAGTATTGACCTGTAACAACATAAGCACAATATGAGTATTTTATCACCAAGTTTTCAGGCAGTTCACTAACTGATGAGGAGACTGCCACATGTAGCATTTACACTTTGCTGTTATTTTTGTACTGCTCTTACATGTTTTCCATGATTTAGGTGATGCCAGTTGGTAGCCACAGGGTGAACAATTGTGATCAGCATCTACTAATTTAGCAGTCACTCTTCAGCCCAATTTTAATGGGTTTTTGGAGGAGTTTAAGTGTTACCTGGCAGTCTGAGAGACAACACTTGGCACTGACTTGGTTTTTGCACTGTCTTCACTTTTACCAAGCAAACTCTGCTCCCAGTTTTTTATCCCTAAGTTTTCTTAGGGATAGATCCTACAAATACCTGGTGTTGACAGAAGCTTGTCTTGACTCTGAATAGTTTCTCCAATTAGGTAGGTTGTTGACAACAGATATTTAAATTGGTATTATTTCTAGTAAGTGGATGACAGGAGCTGTCTGACTGTTGTTCTTGTATGCTCAGTCCAAAGTAAATAAGGGAACTTCTTGTCTGTTCTGTCTTTAAACCTCACATGTAATCATATGTTTTCTCATCCATTATGGGCATCTTGGATTGAACATGGTTACAAAGTCGTAGTCTAGTTACAACATGGCTTTTCTTGAGCTGCAGCACTTCAGATTTTAATTGTTGTGTGTCTATTTTTGTCATTGTGCTTTCTTCCATCTAAGACTTTGGACATGCTACTCTGCTTCCCTGCATTCACATGGTTTTCTGCCAAAATAGGACCAGTGACACGAGGATAATTGGCTCCTGCAATGCTGTGTTTCCTTTTCAAAAAGCCTTCATGTAATAACTACAATAGGCAGTCATAAAAAGGAGAGTAGAAGGAAGTCAAATGTCAGGGATTGTTTTATTTCAATGACTGGAAGAAATTTTTAGCCACATTTTTTTCACTAGTGGGTGCCAAAATGATATAAATTTTGATTGATGTCACTGTGCTCCATTTGTAAATCAGTTTTAGCAGCTATGTGCTACTTTGTTGTTGTAGGAGAAAGTGCTGAAAAGGAGTATTTTAATTTTTTTAAAAATGAAATATTGAAGTACCTGACACTAAAGTGATGGTCCTCAGTTTCAGACAATTCTGTAATTTCTATGAGTTTTGTCTTTATAAATATTGCAAGGTTAAGCACATTTCTGTTAACTCAATTGATTCCTTAACCAGGAAGCTATTTCCTTTTTAATGGGTTGATGTGTATCTGATAGAGGACTTTAAAAATTATGTTCCTACAGCTGTACATGACTGCAAGGCATGCCATTAGTGCAGTATTAAAAAAACATAAGAAAAAGAGATTACTTACGGAGATTGGAATAATTGCTGCCTATTCCAAAACCAATGGAGCTTCCAGAGATGAGAGGAAGGTGGAAGAAAAAAACTAGGGAGGGAAAAAATAAGAGAAAATTCCTTCATAGCAGTTTGGGGTTTTTTTGCAACCAGCTGTCAGTTGAAGACACGTTGTGTTAACATGTCCCTGCTCTCTCTGGGCAGGATTGCACCTTTCAGGTTCTGAGTGTACAGAGAGATGTAGCTCAAACAGAGGGGAAACAGCAAACCAGTCATTACTTCATACTACAAGAGTCACTCCAGTTCAGGAAATGATGGGAACTCCTCTTAGATTCAAACACCCACATATAAACCACACTGTGTTATATAAATATGTTGATTATTGTTGTTAAGTCAATGAGCAGTCCCTGAAACAGGCATCCATCACTGTTAAACCAAATAACTCCCCTAATTTTTTAAAGTGCAGCTTAAATGCACCAGGTTTGTGTGTGTTGAACTGGGCTGGAATAAATTTATTCTAGAATTTGATACAAACACTCCCCCTATGCATTCCAGTTTTAGTATTTATAACTTGCACTTCGGAGATTTATACTGACAGGCAACAAAATGCACGTGAGTAAAACGTGTCCTAAATAGCAGCAATCTTTAGATTTCTTAAAAGATGGGCTCTTTTGCTCTGCAGATGCATTACCAGCCTGAGTTCTGGCAATGACTCGGGTGTGAACCAGCCCTTTTCCGGGCTCTGGGCTGTGGCACCCGGACTGAGCCCTGTCCCCTGTCCCTGTGCCCCGGCGATGTCCCGGCTCCTGCCCCCCCCGGCTCTGGGGCACGGCCGGGGAAAGGGCTTCTCCCTTTTCGGGAGGGGTTCCCGACTCACAGAAACTTTGGGCGGCCGGGAAGGGTGCGGTGGGTGCGAGACCCGCCCCGCCGGACCCCGCAGCTCCCGCGGCTCCTCCTGCCTTACCCGGCTAGGCTCCTGCTTTACCCCAGCACGGTTCAGCCCTTTCCTTACCCCAGCACGGCTCCTGCCTCTCCCTGGCACGGTTCATTGCCTTGTTTTCTCCAGCTGGGTTCAGCCCCTGCCTTACTCCAGCCTGGTTCATTCCTTTCTTCCCCTACCCGTGTTCAGCCCTTTCCTTACCCCAGCCCGGTTCATTCCCTTGTTTTCCCCATACCGGTTCCTTCCCTTTTCTCACTCCAGTCCGTTTCATTCTCGTCCTCTCCCTACCCAAATTCATCCCCGTCCTTACCCTATCCCTATTCATTCTCTGCCTTTCCCTATCCCGGTTAATCCCCATCCTCCCCCATCCCGGTCTATCCCGTTATCCCCACATGTCTGTTCATCGCCGTTGCCCCCATCCCCGTACATGCCATCCTCCCCAATCCCTGTACATGCCATCCTCCCCGATCCCCGTACATGCCATCCTCCCCGATCCCCGTACATGCCATCCTCCCCGATCCCTGTACATTCCATCCTCCCCCCATCCCCGTGCATTCCATCCTCCCCGGTCCCTGTACATTCCATCCTCCCCCCATCCCTGTGCATGCCATCCTCCCCCATCCCTGTGCATGCCATCCTCCCCGATCCCTGTGCATTCCATCCTCCTGCCGTCCTTACCCCAGCCCGCCGCCGTGCCCGCTCTCTCCATGCGCCCCCGCCGCGCTCCCCGCTCGTCCCCTCCGCCCTCCGCGGCCGTGCCGGGGCCGTGCCGGGGGGGCCGTGCGGTGACCACCGCCCCGCGGGCACGGCCGGGCAGGGGGGGAGCGGGGCCCGGCCCGGGGGGGCTCCGGGCCGCACATGCCGGGGGGGCCCGGGGCGATCCCGCCGCGCATCCCGCCCTGCGGCGGCCCCGGCAGAGGCGGCGGGCGCGGGGATGCTGCGGGGGCTCGCCGCCTGGAAAAGGAGCTGGAGGCGGGTATCGGCGCTGGAAAGCCGAGTCCAGCCCAGCACTCGGACTGAAAGGGAGGGACTGCCTGCAGCAAACCCGCGGGGATGCACGGGATTAGCTGGCAGTGCAGAGGCAGTGATTCCGTGGGGCTGGATGGGGGTAGGAGAACGATGTAGACTCGAGACTAGCTAAGACCTCTTTACAACAGTAAGACCTGCTTGTTACCAGGGATCTTGGAAAGGTTTCACACTGTGGACGATAAATGCCCTAATGTTAGAGGTAGAGGCTTTAGTACCTGCAGCAGGTACTAAAGCCGAGGAGCTTCCATAATTGGTCGTTTACCACTAAGAATAGGGTGTCATTAGCTTCTTTAGTTAAAAAATGCAATGGTGTGGCCTGTCAGCAGTTTGGGGTTTTTTAGGATCGCAGTTCCATTGGCAGTTTCTGTCTGCCGTGCACACACTGGACCTGCAGGGTCTCACAGAGGGATCGCACTGATCCTGCTGGTGAGTGAGGGACGTGGAGATGGAGCTTCACGAGCGTGGAGTGTGGAGTGTGTACCCAGACTTCCTTGCTTCCCTTTGGTGGTTTTGTAGTCCAGAGAGCAAGTTCCCTCACACAGGAACAGCTCTGAGCTCTTTAGCTTCTCTTTGGTTTAGTAGTGATGGATTCAGGGCTGTGCTGGACTGTGGGGTGGATGTGAACTCCCTGGTCTGTCTGTAAAAAGTTTCCTGCTGTCACTGGTCACTTTTTTTTTTTTTTAATATATTTTTATTTCTTTCAAGTCCAGAGAAGAGTTAAGAGAGTATAAGGCAATTGAAATCAGGGTTTATGGAATTTTACAGGTGTGTTTCCTCATGGCTCAGAGATACCCGTACCTTTGGACAAAACTGTAATACCCTAGTAGCCTAAAAGGCCGTAGGATGCTGCTGCAAAAGTTATCTTCTGATTCACTTATTCAACTCCTCAGAACAGTCAACTCTTTGAAAGACCTTTTCATTGCAATTCTTTATTTAATAAATGGAAACTGCATGGCTTCCTTTTAGGGCTCCTTGTTGTTTAGTTGTCATATGAAGGTGTGAATCAGCCTATGCAGCAGATAAACTGATTTCCTGTATGCTGGATTTTGGATATGTGTCCTCTTGGCCTCACTTTGCATCTGAAGAATGATGTGCATGTGCAATGCTGCACTCAAGGAAAATAAAACATATTCTGCACTTTAAATTTCAGGGATTTCAAATGTTTAACCCTTCTGCAAATTTTGGTGATGATGTCTTTCCCCATCAGCACCCTACATTTGCTCATAATACTGGTATTAACTTTAGTCCTGGTAGACTTGGGGTTTTGACTGAAAGCAAACCGTGGGAAATGCAGAGGCCTTAGTACCTGACTCTGGATGAGGGGAACTGCTCAGGGCTTGGCAGTTCTGCAGAAATCTCTCTCTCGGCCTGGCTTTAGAGCCCTGTCTGTGATACTCTCATTCTTTTTCTGCTGAGGAGTTGCAACTGCTTCTGAGACAGAGAACGTTTTAACTGAGTCAGAAAACACAATGTACAACATGATGCATCAGAGCCTGCAGAAACATCATCCCCGTTATCAGTAACCCTTTGGACACTCACCAGTACTTGGTGTGCTCCTCTGGAATAGACACAAATGCAGGCTTTTCTCACCCACTGATTTCCAAATCTGCATTACAGTCATATGGACATGAGGGGTGGGGGGGGTAACCATTTTTCCTCTGTGTTTTTTCAGCTTTTGAACTTTGCCTTTTTTCTCCTCAATGGCACCTGACTGGAGCTTGCATGTGGTGTGGGACTCAGGGCAGACTGTTATTTGCACACTCAGTGCAGTTCCTGCTGGCAGTGTGATACTGTGGGCAGTTTATTATTCATTTATTATCATTATTTGATTCTTCTTCTGGCATCTACTTTTCTGTTTTGATAAAATAGATTTGTATTAAAGAAAATTCTCCACAAATAAATGATTTATACACAGGAGTTTGCTTGTGGGCTGTATTTGGGAGAGCTGGAACAAAGATAAACACAGTCCAGGATTACTGCTGCTCATACCTGTTGCTTTTAGTTCAACTTGTCTTTCTCAGAACATCACAGAGCAAGGCAGACCAAGGTAATATCTGTCTCTGTGGTTCGTGGTCTCTGTGTCCAGTCTGAATTCTGCCCCTTCTCAAGAAAGTTCCTTCCTAATCTGTAGGAGTGCTGAGTGTGCCTTGTGCAAATAAAGTACATTAGGTAAAGTTTGGAATGTTATTCCTGATGGATGGAACTGGACAGATTCGCTGTCACCAGTGGGCGTTTCCCAATTTACTGACAAGGGAAAATTAGCAAGGAACCCTTGCTGAGAACAGATAGTTCTATTCTTGGATGATTTTACATTTGCCCCAACATTGGGACTCCATTATAAATCTTGCCATCAGTGCTGAAGTGACAGCCCTTGGCTCAGCTCCCGTGTCCTGTGGCTTCATTTGGGGTTCTTGGAGCTGCAGGGATGCTGCAGCGTGGTGGCTCTTGGTGACAACCAATTTTTGTAAGGCAAAATAAATTCTTTTGCTATAATGAGATCTCTTTTTGACTGAGAATTTTTATGTATTCATAACAAGATTTTGGGGGATACTGTTTTCACTTCCTCCTTTTTCTTTATGGAAAAGGTGGTAATGAAACCATAGTAATTTGGATTATACAATTAGTCGTAGATAAAATGCCTCAGGATGAGCAAAATTGATCAGCAAGTCTTTTTTTTTTTAATTTGGAAAATCAAGTAGCAGTGAATTTCCCCAACTGTGTAATTACTGACAAAGGAAATTCATCTGTGCTGAAATCTATTTTAATGGAAATAGTGGAATTTAAATGATATAAAATTGCTGCCTAACATTTTTCAGTTAGCTTTTATAGGACAGGTTAATTTATTTGAACAATATTTTCCAGAGTTTTAAATCAAGTGTTTTACTTCTTTAGGCATGAAATCTACCAAGAGGAAAAATAATTTTAAATTATTAATACAGGTGAAACATATCAGTAACTAATATTTTACAGCAGAATGAAGGCCCAAAGGCAGAAGTCATGTTCTTTTACATGCTATGGAAAGAAATGAGAACTGGAATGAAGGGGCCCTTCATTCTGTTCCATAGTTTCTATGTCAAAAGAGGATTCTGTAGGAGTTTTATGTCCTGCCTAAATTCTCAGAGGCTGCTCTTCTGATTTTGAAAGTTGCCAACTGTCTGTGGAACAAAAGGTGCTCTGGGGCCAGAATTCGTTTCTTGTTTATTCACCTCTTGCAGATGTTTAAGGAGAATGGCGAGTTATGTTGTCATTGCCTGATGTGTATATATATATTTTAATCTCTACATATGCCCTAAGAAATGGGCTCCAGGACTGTTATTGAAAATCCAGTTATATCTCCCCTGTTTGACTGTGGTTTCAATCTTCCTGATGCCAACTAAGTTAATTTTTAAGGAGGTAGAATGGCAAATTTTATCTCAGTGTTCCTTTCCCTCTCTCTGGGACTCCTTAATTAAATTTATAGTTAATTATGCAATTTATTTTGTGTTGAACTTTCAAGGACCTTAAAGCATCTGAAAGTGAATGCAGAGTGTCTCTTTTTCCAACAATCCTTGTCTGAATTTGTTATAAATTCTAATGGGACATAAGGATGGCCAGTGGATTACTAATGAATAATAACATCAGTGTCCCTGGAGAGACATAACTAAATATACTGGAATATATAGAAAGAAATACTGAATTGTGTGATAAGAAGAGTTTAAAATTAGGCAACACCAGTAATAATACTAAATCTGCATGTCAGAATACTACAAAACTGTAAGTTGTAGGTCCCCTTTGTGCTAAAAATCCTGCTGATCCGATCCATTTGTATCCCATCAAATATGGATATTCTGTCTTTTACTCTCAGGAATGCTTTTGAAAGAGGCTTTTGCTGGGGAGCCCCTGGGGAGGGGTTAGTGCAGTGCTGTTAGTGCAGGCAAGGAGGTGAATCCAGGCAGGCTTTTGTTAACCCAAACCTAAAGTGCAAATGAGGAAAGGCCAGCATGGCACCAACCTAAAAAACATATCTGCGACCCTAAACTGATTTTATCTTTCTGAAACCATTGTGTACCAGCAAGAAATACTTAGTTCACCCTGGCAAAGTACAAACCCTGTAGCTCACAGGGTTTTGTGTTTTACTGATGAATACACAAGTCAGAGTCTCTCCACTTCACACTATTTTATTTATGAAGTGTTTGTGCATCTGTAGAACCTGTAGAAGATGATAAAAAATTTATAAATCTGCAGAGGGGCAAAGTTCCTCACTGGAACTTTGAACATTTCTCACAGCAGTAAGAAGAGATGCAGACTGCACATCAAAATGTTTGGTGATGAACATTCAAATTCACGAAACCCATGTGCAACCCCAGCCCATTTCACTGAAACCGTGCTGGCAAAAGGGAGGGTAAAATAAGGCCCTGGAAATAATGCTCAGTTTTCTGTAACTGGGAGGCTCCTGCCTGAGAGAAATTACCATGAGATGCAGAAACCCATGGCAGAAAAGAACTTGCTCAGGGGATGTATGATTCAAATGGAAGCAGATTTTATATGGAAAAAAGTGTATCAGCACCCTCCAGGGTGTGTTTCTGCTGGTGTCTGGTCAGACTGGCAATTCTGAAGAATTGGTCAGGCCAATTCTGAAGAGAGTTTTTTTAATAAACTATTAATGGTTAAAGTAAGGGTGTAATGTATTCTCTTTTTTGATAGTTTTGCCCTGTGGAAAGAAATACGCAGTAGGATAAGCAAACTGGCTAATAATTTAAAACCTCAAGAGCAGGGAAGTTGC